CCACGCGGTGGCTTCGACGATGAGAGTATAGTAGTAGTAGTGTCGAAGACCTGTTGATTGAGGAACAGATATATCAACGAACAACGCTTGTTGTCTTGTTTGTACCTACTTGAAGCAGGAGATTGGGACGGAGACTCTTTTCACTGATTGTATGAGTGTGCCCCGGAAAGATTCCGTGATGAAACCGCACGAGCAGACACGATGGGTGATAAAAAACGACGTTGTTGTTGTCTTGTCACTAAAATAAAGTGAAACTTGGTGAAACGGAAAAAAAAAGCGATATATTTTGGAACGAAACGACGAGCGCGCGCACGACACACTTGCCCCCAAAGGTACACACACTTCTTCCTTCTCTATACTACTTGTAGGAAGAGTATACCACACCAACACACCAACCACACCCAACCCTCCTCCCCAAGGATAACAACAACACGACAACACACATCAACTTCTCTCTCTCTCTCCCTCTGTCCAAAAAAGCATTGAGACTAAATGACTCATCATGCCTGAGCGGCGTAAGAAGATGGGCGTGTGGAGGTGGCCGGCGGCGACGTGGAAGGCCCCCAGCGAAGAAGAGTATCACGAAGTGTCATCCGGTGAGTTGTGTGTCGTTCGCGTATCGAATATGGTTACCCCAGCAACCAATTTTTGAGGATTGTGGTGGTGGGTAAAAAGAGAAGATACATGTATGTATGGAAACATGTATGTATGGATGTATGTCGTGTAAAGTTGGTAGGACAGAACTCAACTGACTGACTGATGATTATTGTGGTGCTTTCATGTTTCTGAAGCCACCGACCCGCGCCCATAGCGTGTCTACATGGACCTGTTTTGAACGTGGTTTCTGCAAGCACTGGCCCGGGTGTTGGCGCGTGTGTGTAGGGGGTAAAAGTGGGGGTATTTCAGCTGACCGCGTTTTTTTGTGGAACAACAACAGCAGGGCCATCGGCACCAGGTCCAGGTTACTGAACCTGCTATTTTTCTATTATTATTATTGTTGCTCCGCTATTTGCTCTCCTTTTCGTAACGACCGACAACATGAAGAATGATGAAACGGCCGGACAAGACCGCTTGAGTTGACAGCACAGCAGTCCTAGATGACCCATGATGCGTGTTACGTTTCCCGTGAGCAGGCATTTATTTGTTCATCGCCTATGTAGTCCATGTGCATCGCAGCTAAGTAAAAGTAAGACGCAGTGTATCTTGCGGTGTGCCACCCCGGCGGCTCTTTGCTCACCAGTCCATCTCCGTCTGTTTGAAGTTTGCTCTGCGTGTTGTTGAAAATCACCGTCTCGAAGGCAAGTTACACGGCACGATTTTCGTCTGAGTGTTGCACTACTAACGTGCCTTGCATAGTCGCCGGTGTTTGGCGGATCTTCTTGTACATGCGCGCGTACATGTACGCACAACATGCATGTTGTCCAATGCGTACGTCTCTGTCTTCGTTCGTTCGCGTCTCTCTGCTGCCGCTGTTGCCGTTGCTGTCTATTGACTTACCGAAATTTTTCAATTTTTTTTTCACCTGCGCGCGCACACATCGAAATTAATTCTTCGCTGGTGGTGTCCAGATTCCTCCCTTCTTTCTCTCTGAAGATTCGGTAATTTGTATTTGTTGTATATACATCAATCCTTATTTCAGAAACTTGTTTCGAATAAGCTGACTACACCAAACGATCGCGGGGATCCCGAGGGTGTAGCTGAGCTATCGTGGGCAAGCACCAGCTGCGAGCAGGAGGGGGGGTTGACCCCCTGTCTCCAGGAGAAATAGAGAGTCGTTACAACAAAAGAAACCAAATTATTTTCGCCAGGACGAAAAAAAAAAAAGCGAGCAGCAGGCCTTTTCGATTTTCCGAAAAAAAATTGGTGGGGCACGATTTGGGGGGCGGGAGTCGCGCGCGCCCACATGGGCATACATGCGAATAGAGCCCACACAGCAGGCGGTCGAACTACACACCTCCTTCTTGAGAGGAGGAAAGGGGCGCCACCCACACGTACCAAGACCACCACGAGACACCCAAACGGTCGGATAGATTGCCCCACCTGCTACAGTAGCAAGCCACCTGTCAATAGTTGAAGCGCGACGCGGTTTTTGGTGGTCTTCCCCCCCGACAAGAACCGACCGAGAGAATTGCCGCTTGCACGGGGCACCGACATCTTCTTTTCTATATAACGAGAGAGAGAGAGAGAGAGAGAGGCGCGACGGACCGAAAGCGAGATGGGAGACCAAAGCAGACGGTCGTCGTCGGACCACCACCACCACCCCCACCACCACCACCACCATCACACGACGCCGCCCCACCACCACGCGGAGTCGTTCAGCGCTCGCCTACGCAGGGGCGCGCAGAGCACGGGCGGTGTGTTCAGGCGCATGTATAGCCTCGGTGCCGGCGGCGGTGGTGGCGGGGCTGCGGGGGGTAGCGGAGGGAGACCACCAACAGCAGCAGGTTCTTCTGCTGTCAGCGGCGGCGGCTTGGGCAGCACGACCAAGCGAAAACAGCAGCACCACCACCAGCAGCACCAGGGGAGACAAACCACTCCTCCCGCTGCTCCTCCCCCGTACCGATTTGCCGCCGCGTTCCCGTCGTACGATGACAATCATGCAGGTGCCTTGTTGATGACAGCAGCAGCCTCGAAACAACAACAACAACAACAACAACAACAGGCGAGAGGAGGGACTGCTTCCGCCGCTGTTCCGAGCTTCTCTTTTTCCCAATCATCTGCGCGCGGGATCGGAGGATCAACGGAACGCCCACACGCAGAGACAATAGCAGCAGCAGCAGCGCCCGGATCCACTACTAGCAGCAGCGGCGGCGGCGTTGGCAACAACTTGGCTGCGCCTGCGGGACTTGAAGCAGCAGGGAGCAGTAGACTCTTCGCCGCGGGCGGCGGCGGCGTCGGGGGTTGGATGGGAGTGGTGCGGAGATCGGAGAGTCTCCCGTCGCAACCGTCTTCGCTGCCGGGCACGCAGGGGTTCGTGTCATCATCCCCGCACGCCAGGAGCAGCAGCAGGAGCAGCAACTCGTCTTCGTCATCGAGAATAACAACCACACCACCCGCGGCGGTCACTGCCACTGCTGGCGAAAGTGTCACCTCCCCAACAGAGGTCCGGAGACATAGGTCGTCTTCTTCTGGTAGGCCCATGTCCTCGCCGCCATCCCTACAGCAGCAGGATCGCAGCAGCGGGAAGCGGGAACGGCAACTAGAACCGGGGCCGGCTCCACCTTCTCCTCCCCCTCCCCCTCTCACGCCGCCGCCGCACCAGCAGCTGCAGGCGGCGAATGACGAGGTGTACATCTCGGCGGCAGAAGAGGACGAGACAATGATGCCCCAGCAGCAGCAGCAGCAGCAGCAGGGGGATCGTAACAGCAGCGGTAGGCACAAGAACATTGCCGCCGGCTGGACAACAGCAGCAGCAGCAGCAGCAGCAGCAGCAGCAGCGTCGCTAGATCGACACCGTCGCCGCCTTCCCTCAGCAGACGAAGAACCTCCAGGTGATGATGAAGGTCGCGCCGATGGCGATCGAGGAGGGAGGGGCGGATCCGCCGAAAACGGCGGCTCCGCCGCGAGCAGGCGGCGCGAAGGAGGAGGAGGAGGCGTAGCGACGACCGGCGTGGAAGGCAGTGCTGCCGCGGCGGCGGCCGCGGCGGCGGCGGCGGGTGGTAACAGGAACAGCAGCGGGGGTTCTTCCCCAACGCACGACCTGGAAGCACTGAGGAGGAAGGTGCGGACGCTGTACAAGGAGAAGCGAAGGCTCGCCAAGCGCGTTTCCCGGAGGGATAAGCAGGTGAGAAAAGCGGTGGTCGGTCGGTCAACGACACAGATGATGGGTGCCGAGAGGGAGCTGTGAAGCAACAAATCCAGATTATTCCTTGTTGACAAACAGCTTTTGTTTACATGAGTCGTGCTCTCTCTCCTGATGAGCGCGGCGCACTCTGGTAATTGTATTTGCTGCAGAACGGATGCTATATATTCGGCAATGGATCCCCGAATCTATGTACATCTATCTCCATGTCTCTAACCATCGAAGTGTGCACACAGGTACAGCGAAGACAAGAGAGAGAGAGAGAGAGAGCTGTTGTTGCTGTTGTTGCACACCAGCAGTAATAGTTAGTGAGCGCGGGCTACTATTAATACGACACACGCGTGGGCTTTGTCTATTTTTGTGTTTTCGTCGTCGCCATCTACTAATATGCTACAATACAGAGTCGACTGGATGCCACAACGCTTTGTTGTTCCTTTTTCCTCTGCCGTTCTTTTTTTACCCTCCGGCTGCAACAGCAGTGCGTGTGTCGACGACACCAAGAGAGGCAGGCCGTTGTAGGTGCTGCATGTAGACCACAGAAGTCGTCTACCATATCTCTAGATTGCGGCGGTCGTGGTGTAGTGCATAAATCAAGTCTAGTTTTTACGTGCGGCTTGTAGTACTTCGAATTGACATCACAGCAGCAGCAGTACATTACATGCGTTAGACAAATGGTGATTGTCGGATCCATTCGTTGTATGCAAGCGGCAGTCCCATGGGTCGTCTACATAGAATTCCATCGGGTTGCCGAATCCGGCCACATGTGTGCATACAAGCAGTAGTATGGCGGACCGGGGTGGCATGGCTCCAAGGAACTACGTCGTGGCCTGTTTTTAGGAAACGGTATGTATGCATACTGGTTAGAATACTGGTACTGGCTGCTTGTTTTTTTTTCGTCAAGGTTCCATGCCGTTCATGCTTCACGTTCATCTGTGTTAATGTTGACTTTTGCGTGGCGAGCGGTGAACTTTTTGGTCGGTCGCGATGTCGAAAACATCGACCGTTAATATACTGTCTCTTCTGTATCAGGAGCGCGACTTCGTTTCTCTCTTGGAAGGCAGGGGACGGATTTCGAGTTTCCCGGGGGTCGGTCGCAAAATATCAGAAGAGATACGACACTTCTGTACAGATTAAACGTATTCTTGTTGTAGTGGACCCGCAACCTTGACCCGGTTCCAGAAGAGATACATACGCGTACATGCTGCTTTGCTGTTCAGGCAAATATGTTCTTGCTGGGCCTGGGGTCGCAAGCTTACAACCCCAATATCAGAAGAGATACGACACTGCTGTACAGACGAGATGATGTTGTTGGACTTACTATTGTAGGGTCGCAAGCTTAAAACCCCAATATCAGAAGAGATACTTACAGCTATTTAGTAACACTGCTGTGCAGACGAGATACTGCTGTTGTTGGACTTTGGGTTTAAGTACGTAAGTGTAGCATACTGCTGTACAGTATTATACAGTTAGTTGTTGGACGTGACTGCTGTCATTCTGAGAGGAGCCTCTGAAGTTTCCAATTTCTCTGGGGGGGTCTCGGCAATTTTCCTCCGCTCACTGAAAAGACTCCATCACATCCCGTTCGACTACTGTGGGTATATCTCGAGTAGGTAGTCTTTCTTTGTGCGTGTATTTGTTTTTCCTTAATTTTCCGCGATCACGGCACAGATGGCGGGTGTATTGTGGTGGATTTGTATTATCCTTGCTTGCACAGGTAGACAACACACAAGACAACGTCGTCCTTGCGCTTGCTTGTTCGGACACAAGTCGCCACGCAAACCCTCTCTCTCCTCCCGCACCTCCTCGCCCTGCTAGTTCGCGGCCAACCAGGCACCCGCTCGCCAACATCAAAAACATCAGAACATCCGCTGGGGGCAACAAATAGAATGCAATGCAATGGTGCTTGTTGTGAAGTTGAGCGGTCGCGTCAAACGGCAAATCAGACCAAGCGCCAGATACCTAAAATTTAGTCTGTGCGAGTGCTGATTCACGCAGCAGACTGTGCACAGGTACCTGGTACACGTCTACATTGGTCTGGCCAAGTCTTGCATTGATCCTTTTCACGCTTTCAAACAGCATTTTTCATGCATTTTCGAGCAAGCCTTGAATTTTGCGTGCGAAAATCCTCTCTCTCTCTCTCGCAGCAATAAAACTACGCGCGCGTATGTGCATATATGGTGACGATGCTTGCGGGTGCCCCAGTCACTACGCTCTACGCACGCAGCGCACAGCAGCTACAACAACAGCGAACGGCAGCAGATTTCCACACGCACAGCAGGCACAAAGGCCGGTGTTCACTGCTGCCACTGCTGTTGTTGTTGCGTATCATACATACAACAGGGGATGCTTTGGCCCGCCACGGTTGCAACGCGCGCCCCCCGCCGCCCCTGCTGCTGCTTCTGTACTTTTTCCCGGCAAAAACGAACGAAGCTGTCGACAACGAGAAACGATGGGCGCGGGAGTGTGCCTACCAGAGCCGCACGATTTGTGTTGTGCTGGGGGGAGCTGAGATGGGTTTTTGTACCATCTGCTTCTTCCTCGATTTTTTTTTTGTCTCTTGCGGGGCTCCCGTGATCTGCTGCTGCTGCTGCTGCTGCTGCTGCTGTTTGCCATCATGGCTCTCACGTGGCGTTTGAAGAGACCAAGGAATCAAATAATACACTTATGCGGTGTTTTCTCCTGCTCTCGCATGCTTCGCACTGCTGTGGTGCCCCCCCCCCCCCAACCCCCCCAAACACCCCCCCCAACAAAAAACCAAAA